CATTTTAGAGCAAAAGGGAGTTTAAAAGTCTAAACGTGTCTCTACCTTGTCAAAAATCTCACCGGAAGCTAGGTAGCACCACACATCTGCAGCTTCTGTCTGATTGCCCCAGCTCGCCCCTCTCCGGAGACAGAGACTGTTCAGACTGCTGTGGTCCTTTTGATCATCTGGTTCCCAGGCTTTTCCTGCAATGGCACTGTCCCTTAACCTTCAAGGGCTTGTAGAGAAGTGGCTTGTCTTGAGTCATTGTTTTCTTCCACTTGTTTTCTTACAGCCCCTTCTTCCCCCCACTAACCCAATATGTTCATACATGAAACATTCCAATACTAGGTCAGTGTATAGGAGTAATGAACCAGAACAGAGCAATTCCATTTCTTTAAAATGCTTATCAACATTATAAACAAAGGGGGAGAGCGGCTGGTTGACTAAACTTGAAACTTGCCACTAAAAGGTACAGAAGTTTTAGCAAGGTGAAAGGGGAGAGCTTGTTCAGGTAATCTGTATAAATATGCAGTACCAAATTTTGCAAAGACCGTAGTGCTTTTGAACTGGTGTTGAGTGAAGTACAAACTCTATTTCAACTTCCCCAGCATTCAGGATGTTCAGATCCAAGGTTTTGATTCACACTCCTTTGGTTTGCATCTTTTTTTAAAAAGGCTTAAAGCTTTCACTGGTCATGTGAAGAGTAAATAGTAAGAATTGGGGAATGCTACTGCTTTCCAGTAACACTCAACATTTTGAGATTGACAAGCCAATTAGCAACACAGGATTGGGCCCTTGAAACATCAGAGGAGCTTTATTCTATTCCTGAATGGTAGTTGCAGCAGAATGCAAATGAAACGCAGGATTCTACTCTGTTCTGTAGTGTTTGCAGTTAGAAAAGAGATAAAATTCTTCCACTATAACCAGTGTTGTGCAATTAGGTTTGCGTCAGTTTATGGCCTATGCTGCCCTCTGCTGTTTTTGATTTGTTACATTTGTTATAACTCTTGAAAAAGCAACGGGCTTTAACAATGGAGACTACCCTGGCTTAACCAAGAGATCCTCAGTGACCTGAAACTCGACGTGTCCTCCAAAAAGTGAAAGCAGAATCAAAATTTGACGGTGAATATAAAAAGCACAAATGAATGGAGAGAGAGGCCAAGGCAAAAAAGAAATTAAACTAGCTAGGGTAGTGGTTCCCAATCTTTTTGATACTGGGGACCAGTAAACCCATTCACAAGCTTTTGGAGGACCAGTAACATATATTTGTATATTCATTAAGCAAATGATGAATATGCAATTAAATTGTTTCTGGTCCTCCCAAAACCCCCAGTGCCAACTTTAGCAAAGCTTTTGATACGGTCTTCCACAGTATTCTTGCCAGCAAGTTAAGTATGGATTGAATAATTGGACTGTAAGATGGATAGAAAGCTGGCTAGACTGTCGGGCCCACAGAAAAGTCAGTCAGGGCCACACAAGTGAAATACAAAAACACAACCCCTTCAAACCTCACCAATGTGGCCCCAACTGGGCTTGTGGGTGCTGGGACAGGGTTCTGGGGTAGGGTGCCAGTGGGTGCTGGGGCAGACTACTTGTGGGGGTTGGGGAGGGGAGACAGGGACCGATACAGATACCTGGGAATCCTGCAGGTGCACACCAAGGCCCAGGAAGTGTGTGGGCTGCTCCCAAACAGCGGCGCGGTACCTGAAATGCTGGTCCGTCACATGCCTGATGCCTTCCTGCGTGGGGGGAGGGGGTGTCCCGGACCGCGTCAGCCCCAACCGCTGGGACAGTGCGCGCCTTGCTCCTCCGCTCCCCATAGAAGCATGGGCCGCCTGAATAGCCGAAGCCAGCGCAGTCCCGGATCCCCACCCCCTCCCCCGTGTGTGATGGATTGGTGTTTTAGGTGCCACGCCGGCTGGGGGGGCAGTGGGGAGAGCAGCCTGCGCACTTCCGGGACTTGGCTTGCAGCTACAGAACTGCCCCCCAACCCCACAGGAAGCCCAAACACTGATTAATATACTAACCGTCAGTGTAAATGGGGTATGTATAGTCTGAGGCTAAAATGGGGGAGAAAAGCAAGAATTATTTAGACAAGATAACTAGCTTCAGGTTCTCCGGATTGGAGTAAATGCATCCTGGAATACTTACGGAACTGGCTGAAGAGATGCCTGAGCCGTTTTCTGTTTTCTTCAAGAACTTATGGCAGATGAAAAAGTGCAATAGAGTACCTCTGTCTAAAAACAGAGGAATAACCACAACCCAGGGAATTCTAGACCAGTAACTTCACTTTGGTACCTGGAAAGATGAGGAAATAATCAAGCAGTTAGTGAGCACCTAAAAGACAATAGGGTGATAAATGCGACAACGTGGGTTTGTTAGGAACATCTCATGTTATTAAACCACCTTAATATCCTCATTGACAAGTGTGGCAAAGCTCTGAGTTAGCCTCCGGGATTCTGCACTTCGAGGTGGCTAGGGCATGCCTACGGCTCACTGTGACCCACAGCCTGCTGAGCCACCTCATATAGGGTAGTCAGTGGGTTTGGGTGAGAATCCTCCTTCGTCCGTCGCCCCTCTGAGGGACTGTCTCTGGTGGTATGGGGGAGGGTTGTGGGTGGGGAGGACCTGGGCCCTCTACTCCACGTTCCAGCCCAGGGTCCCTAATGGCAGTGGCAACAGGTAGTTTTTCCTCCATTATCAGAGCTATAGCCTTGCCATGGTCCATTTCCTTGATCAGCTCTTCCCAACACCTTGATCCTGGTACCTGCTCTCACACATCCTCCTAGCTCTTCCATAGCTCATAACCCCGACCACCCTCCTTGAAGGAGAGCCTTTTAAAGCAGTCCTAGCAGGTTGCAGGCGCTCTGATTAGCGGGTCTCTCTTAATTGCTTCTAGCATGCTCTTAATTGGCTCCTGGTGTGTTATGGTGGCTGCCTGACTTAATTGGTTCTAGTACATTCCTGATTGCTCTGGAGCAGCCCCTGCCCTGGTCACTCTGGATTGGAAATGATTCATCCAGTGGCCAGTATAGTTATCATGGACCAGATGACAGCAGCCAACAGGTCTGGGTCTGTCAGACAAGGCAACAAGTCTTGTGGATGGGGGGAAGTAGTAGAAGTGATGTCTCTTGATTTTTAGTGAGGCTTCTGATACTGTTTCACATGGCCGTCTCATAAACAAACTAGGGAAATACAGCCGAGAGGAACCTACTCTATGGTGAGGGTACAACTGGTGGAAAATCAGAGTTGGAGAGTAGCTATGCATGGTTCACAATCAAACTGGAAGGACACGGGAGTCCCACAGGCATCGGGCATGGGTCTGGTTCTAGTCAATATCATGGAAACCAGCATAGAGAATTCCAAAGTGGATGGTGGTGCAAACACTTCAGAGGACAGGGTTAGAATTCAAACCAACGAAGATGGCCTGTGCTAACTAGAAGGACATTCAATAAAACAAACCCCAAGTCCTACACTTGGGAAAGCTGAAGCAGTTACATAAATACAAAATGGGAAATGACTGTCTGGAACGGGGGGGGGGGGGGGAGGAGAGTAGGGACAGATATTTTCTACTCCATTCAGTAATAACCCTTTGGCTGTGTGCTTGTCTCTCCCCCTCCGCCCGTATGCTGCTGAGGCTCTGCACAAGGCAGCCAGGACAGCAGATTCCGAGAGCTCCCAAAGACCACACAGTCAGACAGGAATCAGACAAGAAACCAGTAGTTGTCAGCAGACTCTCCTGAGCCACTACGCATATGGACCCTGACAATGGACTCGGCTCAGTCAGCAGTGGGATTCTGCTTTGCCCCAGAGGCCACACAGACAGTGTTGCGTAGACAGGTCCAGACAAGTGACACATTGCTCCTCACATATCAGGGTGCCAACCTTTGATTACCCAGCCACCATCCATCACCTTGCACCTGGTGGTTCGATCGGAGCATCACTACCTGTCATGCTGGACTCTGTCCTGGACAGAGCCAATGTGTCCATGTGATCTGTAGGGAGTGGTTGGTACCACGATGTTTCTGAATGAGGAGTTACCATCCCTCTGAAATGTGCTTCCCGCCTAGTACCGAGCACTAGACGTCCTGCTCATGCCACGTTCTGTGAGCAGGGCTGCCTCTTGCTCACAGCGTAATTTTGCTTTATATTAGCAGAGTCTTGACCATTGTTTGCCAGGCATCACACTAGGACTGTGATACATTGGCTTATGTTTCAGAGCCTCGTCCTACTACAGGAAAGAATCTGGGGGTTATAGTGGCTCTCAAACCAAATCTGTCAGCAATGAAATATTGTTGCAAGGAAAGCAACTGTCATTCTGGTCTGTAAAAGAATGAGTGGTGTAAGCAAGAGCTGAGAAATAATTCTACTCTTTGTGCTGTTTTGACTTCAGCTGGAGTACTGTGCCTAGTTCTGGGCACTAGACTTCAGGAAAGATGAGGACAAATTGGAAGAAGTTCAGAGGAGAGCAAAAAACAATTAAAGGTCTAGACAGCATGGCCCATAAGGAAAGTGGGGGGAAAAAACAGAGGCCAGGGACATGTTGCTTTTCACTTAATATAAGAGCCCTGAATTCATACTTTTCTTAACCTGAATTGTAAGAACCATATTGTCTCTCATAAAGTGATTCCTCTTCAGTGCATTACTGAGGTGCTCTAAGCTTAGCCAATTCTTTTGCATCAGGAAGAGGGTGCAAGAACCAGATGTGCTTCCATGTACGGATACAGATACAAATAGTCTTCAAAGACCGTTATCAGTCTGTGTTGTGGCTTTCATTCCCTCCTCTTTGTTTCCTCCTAAAACTGTGTTCCTTTCCTGCAGCTTTGGAGCGTAGCCTGTTGAAAACGCTGCAGAAGCTGGATGAGTACCTGAACACTCCGCTCCCTGATGAGATAGATGAGAACAGCATGGAAGATATCGCAGTTTCTACCCGCAAGTTTCTGGATGGCAATGAGATGACATTAGCAGACTGCAACTTGCTGCCTAAACTACACATTGTCAAGGTAGATGATTTTCTTGGGTGGGACTAGAATAATTTGAGTTACATTTCTTACAGTGGATACAATCTACTGCAAGATCAGAAAAGTGAAGGAAGATCCTGGATCCCATCCCATTGCAATGAACTTGGTAAATAAAACTGAATACATGTCCTTATTCAATGTAATCACAATATTAACAGCATTGCATAATAATTCAATGAAAGATTCTTGAAATACCTGTGAAACTTGTGTGCCTTCCTTAGTTACTGAGAGACATAACAGATCATTAGAAAAAAAAGACTCGTCAAAGTCAAGCCAGGTTTTGATGCTGTGTAGAAACAGGGAAATCATGAGACTTCCAAGAAGAACCAGATGACTCTAGTTTTTCCAGGTTTCATTAAGCATGTTTTTTTCTATCTGTATAGAAAGTGAGAATACAAGTAAATCACACAATGCAAAATAGGGCTAGAGGACAAGTTAGACACCTCTGAAAGAACTGGGAGATGGCAGAGAGATATCTCTGCAAAAATGAAGTAATTTTACCCCTTCTCCTGCACTCTTGTAGGCAGTTGCACACTGCAGATGGAGCCCACATTAAACATATATGCCTGGCTGCGGCAATAGTTAACTTGTAGTACTAGGTTGTTCATATTAATGTGACGCAAACAGTGAACTGCTAGCTCCATATACATACCAGAAGGGCAAGATCTACCAATTTTGATCTTTTATGGATGTTACACTGTGGGCTTTACATTGTATGAGGATAGTGAGACACAGAATGCAAGAATTGGTGTAATGTAAAGGACATGAAGTCATTGTCGTTGTCTTTGTTTTTGTTTTAGGTGGTTGCCAAAAAATATCGTAATTTTGATATTCCCAAAGATATGACAGGGATTTGGAGATACCTGACCAATGCCTATAGCAGGGATGAATTCACCAATACTTGCCCTGGAGACAAAGAGATTGAAATAGCTTACAGCGATGTCGCCAAGAGACTCACTAATTAAACAGCACTTGCAAAAGAGTTGACTTCTCACATTTCATAACAGAATGCTTTTCCTAACAGACTGTTCTTTTGCATATAAAATAACAATTTATTTTGCATGAATTTGCAGTTATTCAATGTTATGTTGGATAGAGCAGGTACAGTTATTACGTAAATTTGCAAAATAAGAGTAACAAAGCTTGTTTTCCTTTATCATCTTTAGCAGCATATGAAGATTATCATTAATACAGTTTGTGTTAATGTTGCACTGGGGTAACCCTACACACCCTAGCATAAAGGGTCGTTTTCCTCCACTATTTTATCTATTAAGCATAGCTAAACTTTCAAATATTTGGTCCGTTTCTTAGTAGATGCTCTATTGAACTTCATTAATTGATCCACAATATTCTCTTGGTATATGGTACATGAAATATTTATGTATTTTGGAATTTTTTTACTTCTTAGGTCTACACATAGGAGGAAAGTAGTTCTGCAGCATATTGGTCTGTACCTGCTTGTCTATCCCCGCTGAATACCAAAGGATCTTATTACCAAAAAAGCCTTTTGCAGACTATTTGGCAATGTTATTTCAACAAGGAAAAAAATACTGTTAAATGTTGGTTTACAAACAGGGGGGACTCTCCTAGAAATGCACCTGCCCCAGCGCTAGGTGTGAATGCTCCAAACTCAGAGAGTTGGGATCTAGGTCTGAATTTTGTTAGGGGCCTCTCAGAGAAAGTGTTTAGTTAAAGGAGCCCGATGAGCACAGGTAACGGTTTAGGGTTTAAGCAAATGGGGCTGTCTGAAGGGAGCTTTGGCCCACACCAGAGACAGTTAGCAGAAGGTCATTTTGATGGGTCATCATGGAGAAACCAGAAGAGCGAGACACACCCACCATTGGTTCAGTTCAAGAACTGCAAGTGGCTGCTTTTTGGTAGTAAGGAGCCTTTGTTGTGTGTAGGTTGTCTTAGTAACACTTATTTAGGGAAACTGCTGTCATAAACAATGTACATGTAAACGCTAGGGGTCTAGTTGACAAGTAGCTACTGTATATGTTAGCTAGCAGTGCAATGAGTAGCAATATAAGACTGAACACAGCAGCTAGAGTAGAAATCTTGCTGAGAATTTTTTTAAAGATTTTTTCTGAAGCATGTTTAAGTGACCTTTAAAAGAGACTATTTGCCTTAACGTACAGTATGCATTTTTCTAAAAGAAAAGCCCTCTCTTGTTTTCTTTTAAAAGTAATGCTCTGAAGTGCCAGCCTTTCTATGTATTAATTTATCCTCTGACTGTCACTTGTCTACCTACCTGGACAGCAATTTTGCATAACCTTAATCATTGCACTACTCGAAGTTTTGGTTTTCTACAACAACTCTAAGGAATAGCACTGCAATTTTTTAAAGAGCAATTTTCCAATATTTCTAAACCAGGAAATAGTTTTCTTGTTTAAAATAAAAAGGCAAGGTTTTGATGCAGAGCATAAATTACTAGGTTATCTTAGAGGCCATCAAACCCTACTCCAAAGAGCATTAGCATATTTTTTGTAATGATACTTTTTTATAACTGATTTTAGAAGTTTGAAAAGTGCTATTCCTTGTAGGTTGCTTTTCTGATATTGAACCTATGGCAATAACATGAAAATCACACGAACACACTTTTATGCACTAACATTTTGGCAAGAACTAGCTTTAAGAAAAACAGCCTGACTTTCTAAGCACCCTGCTTTTGCTACTTCATATATCCATAAAGTTAGCTTGAAGAAACCCATAGAGTACTTCCAAAATGCTTGCGGTGCCTTTTTGTCTTGCCTTTTTAGGTCTAGGATTCTATTATTATAGCAAGTCTCAGTTTTGTTACCTGGCTTTTCAAAAATAGCAATCAATACATTTGAAATCAACCCCTGCTATGATTTATTGCAGAAGTGTTCAGGAACTGAAAGAAAAATCTACAGCCTGGCTAAAAATGGGTGGTTGCCTTTTTATACTCACTGTATCCTAAAGACCCAGTCACACCATGAATAAAATGTTGTCTAGCAGTAAAAATCTGTTGTAGGGTTTATTGTTGCATCCAGAGAGAGGAATTATTTCATTGCTTGTCGGATTAAAACTTGGTTTGGTTTAGCTGTTAATGACAGATGGAGGGTAAAAATGGAAGTTTATTGGTTGGATGCTTTTAGCCTTTACAGCCGGTCTCCGAGTTACGAACGCGTTATGGACGAAACGCTTGGCCGTAACTCGGAATGGTCGTAACTCGGAACCCATTGAGTTACATTGCGACGGCGCTGTTCATAAGCACGGGTCGCGTTCGTAACTCGGAGTCCTCATTTACGACCGCTTTGGTCATAAGTGTGGATGATTGTAAGTCGAGGTGGCTGTAAGTTAGGGACCAGCTGTATATGGCTTAAAATGCTCAACTGAAAATGGAATACAGAAATCAGTTTGACTAAGGCAAACCCAGAAGTAATTAAAATGAATAATCTATATTAAACTTGGATCAGGATGGCCCTTTTGAGTTTTGTTTAAAAAAATTGGGCCTGATCTCTAAACAAATTTAGAACCCACAGTGCCCAGTTATGTATGCTGGGTCACTGAGCATTCACATGATCATAATTAACCATTTGTATGCACAGTGACCCAGTTTGCACACTTGGTTGTGGTAACTGCCCATCAAAAAAGCATGCATCTACGTGCTTAACTTGTTAAATTATCAGGCTTGTCATCTAGTATAAACCATAGATGCTTTGTCATTTCCCTTTGATAACTAGGAGCTGCTTCTTCTCAAACCATGGATGTTGCATATAATATGCTATCACTAAGTAATTGCAATGGTTGATGTTCAAAGCTTGGGAACCAAGTTGAAGCTCCTGCTGTCTTTGGCACCAGTTGATGAATTTCTTGCCCCGGTATGATGAGCTATTGAGTGTCAGGGATTGGACAGCATTTAAAAGAATGAGATTTCCCCCCGATAGTCACAATTGAAATGAGGCTCTGGTTGGTTAGTAACTGAAAGGGGACATGCCATATGATGGCCGCTTGCTGACCTCCGTGAAATGATCTGCTGTTCTTTTGGTTTCCCAGGGGATGGATAACTGCATCCCTAGAGCTGTCCCACTTATTGGCATCCTCAGCAGAGAGGCCAAGAACTTAGTGGAGACTTAATGTCTTTCACCTCTACCATCCCTTAAGGTCAGCACTGCAGGGTGTGGGCAGGGCGGTGTGTAGCAAGTTTAGTAGTCCCTGTGCAATATGCATTCAATGGGATGAGGATTTCAGTCTGACCCCAATCACCAGTACTTACGGTAACCCTTATTAATGAGAAACTCCCTGTCCTTGCTCCCTCCTTCTTTGGCTGGAGAACAAAGTATGCACGAGTTTGTATTTTATACAGTTTTCCTTTCTGGAAAAGACTGCCTGTATGTGTAAAGCTGTTTGAGCGGGATGCCTCTGAACCCTTGACAGGATTTCATGCACTCCAAACATTTTCTGTGCCTGTTTTTCTCTGGTACTCAAAGTCCCATGTGGACTTTTGCAGCTGTGTAGTTGCATAATGACCATGCCTCCTCTCCCCCCCCCCCCCCCCCCCAATAAAACTGGTAATTTTCTGGAATGGGTACGTCTAAGCTGGTGGAAAAGGGTTGTGTGCAGTTCTTGGATAAGATGGAAACTGAAACCGACTTTCTATGCCCAAATAGCAAGTAAGCTTTTCATATCAAAGGAACACATGCATGAAAAGCTGAATGATTTGAGCCAAACCCATAGATGTCTGTCTACATGTGGAACGTGGTGGCTGAGAACAGAAATATGTACACTCTGTCATTTAGACAATGATTTGAACAAGTCAAATGAGACTCTTCAGAACAAAGTATTTCAAGAAGGCCCACTTTGCTTGAGCCACTAATTCTTGCCTTTTATACATGAAAGGGATGAAGTGGGGTGAGATGCAGACTTCCAAAACAGGACATCTGGAAGTAGAGCATGGCATGTAGAAATACCGAATGAGTCAATACAATTGATTGTAGGATGCTTATGTCTTTGACTCTCTGGATCATCTTTTCAGATACACCAGTGTATTGCTGGCAGCTAAAAATAAAACTATATTTTCACTACCAAGCAGATTGTGATGTTTTTGTGGGATATGTGCATACACAAATTCAAAAGGCTGTGTTGTGTACATATTGGCAATACTTATTCTTTGACAGTTGTGCCAGTGAAAGGGCATACAATTCCCAGCTTTGCCATTGGCCTTCTAACCTCTAGGGCAAGAGTGGCCAACCTGCGGTTTGCATGTGACTCTTCAAAGGAAAAATTGCAGTTCCTGCACTTGCGGCTATTCTGCGTTCCCCTGCTCTGATCTTTTTTCCTCGTCTGATCTGGGCGCTGCTTATTGCAGCTGACGCTATGGCCGACGGAAGCCTGCTTGGGCCACATGCAGTTGTTAAAGGGGCAGTATTTTTGGTGTGTGTGTATTTGGTTTTTTTGCTCAACAACTTTTCCCTCGCCTCTTTGCACTTTATCCACCACTATTTTGGCTTCTTGTAACGAATTGGCCACCCCTGCTCTAGGGCAAGTTGCATTTAACTTCTATCTTTCTGTAGGTAGGCATATTTACCCTTTCTGCAGGAGTGTTGACCAGAACAAGTTTAAAAGTACCAGTTTTTTTCCACAGGAAACTTTTAAAAATGATCGTTTTTAAATGTCCTATGAAAATATCTTTTGATAGAAACCATAGAAAAAGGGAAGAAGGGTTGATTGGTGTTTTAAAAATGTTGGTCTTCAGCAATTAAATACCAAAACATTTTACCAAAAAAAGAAACTTTGACACTTTAAAAAAGAAAATTGCAAATTTCCCATGAAAACGTTTTAGTTGGAACATGATGAAAAATGAATATTTTTGTTGAAAAACCAACTTCAACCATTGAGGCTTAACAAATATTTTGTTACAAATAGAATCGGGGTCCTAAGCTGGGATATTTTTTGTTCTGAATTTCAACCACTTACCTCTCAGGATTTCCGCTTGGCAATGTTTCAGCTGAAAACTAAAGTTCCCATCTCATCCGTCCTTGTAACCTGTCGGTACCTAATCAGTGGGTCTGGCCATGATGCATCCATTTCCATAGGAAGGTTCTAAGGACATTCAGGCTGTTGCCAAGGTGTCATTCATCGTCTGGCTCACTGTGGGGCGTGTGAAGTAGAACATCTGGTTTATAAGGAGATTTGTGTTCTGGAGAATGTGCTCAAGGATGCAGTCACCTATGTTCAACGTGCCAAATGAAAGACGACTACAGCCTTGGGGAATGTTGCCCACATTCTAGAATAGCAAGATGGCCCTCGGCAAGCATGTGGAAGCAAAGCCCATAGGAACACTGCAACATCTACACCCGTCTCCTTCACTGTGGCTAGGCCAGAAAGGAGTTTATGGCCTGTGTTGTCTTGAGGCATCCAGTAAAAGATGCTGCCCCACTCCTCAGAATATGTAAGTAAGGCCAGACCCTTTGGGGCTCGGGGGAGATCAGAGAGAGGCTGATTTTTGCCATAAAAGGATCCATGGTCGTTTTGTGCATTACCAGATTCTAGCACCTCCTTGAACTCCAGGTGGGACACTTGCTGCCTTGCAAACCTGGAGAGCAGAATGAAGGGAAACAACAAGCGATCTGTGGGTTAGAAGAGAAGACTTCTGCCAATGCCCCAGCACTATTGAAAGAAGTGAGGCACTTGTTTGCTATTTGCTGCAGTAAGTCTGTTGAACTGCTCTTTATTTAACAAACTCCTCTAGTTCTCTAAACATTGCTCTTAAGATGCTTGGAAAATGGGGGCCTTGATTGTTAGTGCATGTAATCCTGGTGGGATGACCCAGTGGAAGAAACTGGCTGCTTGGCTTGGCCTCAAATACTGTGGAGACTGCTCCCCAAGCAGTGGGCAGAGAGAGCTTAACCTTGAAGGGAGCTCGGTGTAGTTACAAAGGCACATCGTGTCCCACATGACCCTGATCACGACATACGCTTGTTTCCATTCACTTCATCTTGGTTTCCATGATGATCCTGATCCCAAATCCTTGAACTTTGGACAAGTGTGGACCCAGATTTGCCACTGAGGCTAGTGTAAGGATGCAGCTCTGCTCCCAGTTAAGTCACGTGAAGTTCTACCAGTTACTCATTGCAAGCGCTGTTGTTTGCCTATGGGCAAGGCCAGGACCAAAGTGTGCTTGAATGGTTCCTACTTCCGCCTGTTCTGACCAGCCGAAGGACTGCAGTCACTGACGTTTGACCAAGGGGAGATCTGGTGCTGTTGGAATATGACTCCACCTTGAAGTTGCACATAGTGACTAGTCTTGACAAACAGTCTCTTGTATGGAAATACTCATGGGGGGGACGGACGGAACGGACTAATGAACGAATTTTGTGATGATTTTGCTGAACAGCGCTAGTTTGTTTCTATGAACTGTTCAGACGCTTTCGTTTTTACCTAGGGCTACTGCATTTTTATATATTAAAAAAAATCCAGATTTGTCTTGGTTCATTCCTTTAGCAATTAGTACATTTAATAGGGCTCCAGGTTTTTATTGCAGAGGTGAAAATATACGAACAGCTGAAAGCTGCTATAATGGGGTATAGAAATTCCAGAACAACTTCCTAATTGCTTTCTCCTTCACTGAACTCCCTTCTAAGCAGCAGTGCAGCACAGTAGCTAACTATGCCAGGACACCCTGGCGGTGTCTGCTAGCTGCGCCCAGGTGACCGTCGAAGAACCCGCTTTCAGAGTTAGTTTGCCCAGTTGCTCGGTGGGTGGCTGAGAACTGGTCCAGAGCACAGTGTTTCAATATTCAGGTTAGTCATAATATCAGTGGCCGTATCTCGATAGGTCCAGTGTCTCCGGGAGGCTGTGGCTATCTTCTCTAGCTCCTGAAGGCTTCGTGTCTCCTGGACAATGAGGCTGCCCTGTGAAAATCCACGTCATGCAAAGGGGATAGCTTGATGTCTGAAGCAGCAGGATTGACGTGCTCTCTGGAACCAGAAGATGGGAGCGTGGCCTGGCCAGCACAGCCCCACTTTCCAAGTGCAATTAAACAAGTTCCCTGCAGGTTCTATGGTAGGGACAACTTGAACGGGGCTCTTGAGATGCACAAGTAAGCCAGACTGCCTAGGAATGCCAAAGTCCAGACGCTTTTCAGAGGAGCATAGGGCTTTGGTTTGGTATCCTGGCCAGACCCTCCTTCCTCATACTTCTCCCTTTGCTGTGTAGACTGCTATGCCTGGCTGTTTTCTTGCATCGTGGTTGGTGTGTAGGGGAGTGTCCGTGTCTCTGTAGAAAGCGCATTGATGCGTCCAGGGATGCTGTAGGGTGAATGTGAGTGAAGGCTAGACTTACCTATGCTGTCAACCTGCTATGGTAGTTAATTTGTGTTTTGGCACTTTCTGAAATCGAGGCCTTCGTCTTAGCCTGTCCCCACAATGCACAAACAAGTAATGCGGGATATACATCTACATAGAACTTACTTGCTGGAGCTTCAGAGCACTTGGCCTGGCTAAACTTTTAACAAGTTCTCCTGATTAATGCTGGATGCATTCCAGGGCCGGAGAGAAGAGAACTCATGATTCTGAGAGTTGGGAGAAGAGCTGCTGGGTTCTTCCCACTGGACAGAGATGAAAAAAGTTATTAACAAAGATCAAACATGAGAACTTGAAAAACGAATGAATAAAATGGACGCTAAGGGACATTCCGATGCCTTTGATCACCAAGACAGAGGCTTAGCATGACCAGAAGAGGGATTTGGGTCAGCCAGAGCTTCTGTGTATGGAATCCTCATTTTAAAAGCTAACACAGTGATGGCTGGCCTGCAGCCCATCGGGGTTCTGTGTGTGGTGTGCAAGTCGCTGTTTGCCGCTGTCCATGTGCAAGGCTGCCAGATTCCACTGGTTTTCATCCACATTTTTTTCCTACTGGTTTTACTAAAGTAACAAGCACGTGAAGGGAGGTGCATGCAGACTGCGAGCAACACCGAGAGAGCCATGTGCTCCCTCTCCATCACAGTACTGCTGGGGTTTAGTTGGCACACCCGGCATGGTCTAGGTACGCAGGTGCAGGGAGCAAAAGACCCGGGTTCGCTCCACAGTTGGAGACAGACCCTGCCAGGGAAGGGCGCTCCCAGCACTGGGCTGGAAGAGTCTTTCAGTTGCAAAGCCGCTTTAACCTTAACGGGAGAAGAGGAGCCAGTGGACGGACCCCTCCTTTGCCTCAGGCTTTGTCTACGCTTACAGGCGCTTCAAGGCACCAGTGGGTCATGGCAGTGGGGTTGCCAGGTACATAAGAACGGCCGTACTGGGTCAGACCAAAGGTCCATCTAGCCCAGTATCCTGTCTGCCGACAGTGGCCAGCACCAGGTGCCCCAGAGGGGGTGGACCGAAGACAATGATCAAGCGATTTGTCTCCTGCCAT